CCAATAATGTTGCTTGATATCCAAGTACATCTTGTCGGAACCTGGATGGATTGAGTACCTCGTTTTGTGAGCCTCGTTCATTATCATGTCCCGAAACCCACCAAACTTTGGTGTCCAGATTCGGTCTATTAGGTAATAGGCTCCGTCTTCTTTGACTGTCATATTCTTTTCCATTCCGCGCAGTGCCTCATTAGTGACATTTTCCGGCTTCAAGGCTTCCTATTGGGCCTCTTTGATTCGTGATGATAGATAGGAATGAATGGTCATCTTCAACGTCTTTACTCGGTGACCCGAGTACTCTTTTCGACTTAAAGCATCAGCCACTATATTTGCTTTGCCTGGGTGGTATTTGATTTCACACTCGTAGTCGTTTAAAAGTTCGACCCATCTTCGTTGCCTCATGTTCAATTCCTTTTGACTCAGGATATGCTGGAGGCTCTTGTGACCGGTGCAGATGGTGCACTTGGTACCATAAAGGTAGTGCTCCAAATATTTAAAGTGGAGATCACAACTCCCAGCTCGAGGTCGTGGGTGGTACAGTTTACTTCGTGGGTCTTAAATTATCTTGAAGCGTACGTTATTACCTTTCCTCGTTGCATAAGCACACAACCTTACCCCTGGTTAGAGGCATCATACCATACCATGAAATCCTCCATTCCTTTTGGCAAGGAAAGTACTAGAGCACTGCAGAGAGCTCGCTTTAGGGTTTGGAAGGCAGCTTCTTGTTTGTCAGTCCAATGGAAAGGCGCACTCTTCTGGGTGAGAGTGGTGAGGGGTTTGGCGATGTTGGAGAAATTTTGGATGAACCATCAGTAGTAACCGGTGAGGCCTAAAAACTATCGGATTTCGGTTGGAGTTCTCAGGGTTATCCAACCATTAATAGCTTTAATTTTGGTAGGGTCCACATCGTATTCCCTTTTCGATGACTATGTGGCCCAAAAATTCCACTCTGCAAATCTAAAATCCGCATTTTGAGAATTTTGCGTAAAGCTTTTCCATTCTCAATGTTCCCAAAATTTGACGAAGATGTTGGCTATACTCCTCCTCGCTCTTAGAGTAAACGAGTATATCTTCGATGAAAACAATCACAAAGTTTAAAGAAATGGCCGCTAGACTCTATTCATCAAATCCATAAAGGATGTTGGCACATTGGTGAGACCGAAAGGCATGACTACGAATTCGAAGTGTCCGTAACGGGTTCGGAAAGCAATCTTTGGGATATCCTCATCTCGGACTCTTAATTGGTGGTATCCGGATCTTAGATCTATCTTGGAAAAGTATCTGGCTCCTTGGAGTTGGTTGAATAGGTCATCGATTCGAGGAAGTGGGTATCGATTCTTGATGGTGAGCTTATTTAATTCTCGATAATCTATGCGCATTCTGAAAGATCCGTATTTCTTCTTGACAAACAGAACCGGAGCTCCTCAAGGTGAAAAGCTAGGCCTGATGAATCCTTTGTCAATAAGTTCACTTAGTTGACTGGACAACTCTTGCATTTCGGCAGGAGCTAAGCTATAGGGTGATTTGGCGATAGGGATGGCTCCAAGTACAAGATCGATTCGGAACTCCACCTGGCGCTCGGGAGGTATTCCAGGTAATTCCTCAGGAAATACATCGGGAAAGTCACGTACTTCAGGAATATCGTTGATGTCTTTCTCCTCTTTTGTCTTATCCACGACATGAGCAAGAAAGGCATGGTTCTTTTTATGCAGGCACTTTTGTGCTTGAATGCAAAAAATGAGTCGGAGGTTTGAGCCAGGTTTATCGCCATAAACTATTAGGGTTTTATTGTTAGGTAGGTGAAAGCAAACGATCTTCTCGTGACACATAATTTCGGCACGGTGCGGGCTTAAACAATCCATGCCAACAATCACATCAAAGCTCCTAATATTAACATGCATCAAACTGATTGGGAAAGAGTGATTATTTAACATTAGCGTGCACCCTATGTAGACGTCATTGGTTGATTCTGTTTTGCCGTTGGCCAGCTCGACCGTATAAGTTTCATTCAATTTGTGAGGGTTTTGATTTAATAAGTGCTTGAATTTATGACTTACGAAGCTTCTTTCGGCACCACCATCAAATAAAACGCACACATAAGAGTTGTTGAGGGGAAACGTACCAGTCACCACTGTTGGATCTTGGATCGCTTCTCCTTGCCCCATGGGTAAGACCCTTCCTGCGTTCTAATTGTTGTTCTTGGGGCAGTTGCGTTTAAATGGCCGGTTTCCCTGCATCCATAACATACACGGCTTGCCCCGACGTTGTTGTCGTTGGATTGTTTGTTTTGTTGCGGGGGCATCTTGCAATACCGGGCAGTGTACCTTTCAATTTGCAGTTGGTGCATTGGAAATCCTTGCATGCCCCGTAGTGATGATAATTGCACTTGTCACATTTGGGATTGGATCCCGCGTATGACTTAGTAGTTGCCGTTGTAGTTGAGGCTGGGGCGGTTGGAGCTGGTGCGGCTGGAGCGATAGCAGAATGGACTGCTATGGTCTATGGTTTCTTGGATGACCCTGCATCCTGTCGTCGCTTTCGCCTATTACTCCAATTCTTCTTGTTTCCTCCTTCTTGCTTTCTTTCTCCCCCAGTTGTTTTCGTGTTTTTCTTGTCACTGTGATCGTAAAGCTTTTTGTCTAGGCGCTTTGCACTATCATAGGTCTCGAGTTTTGAGGAAATTACGTTGCCCTGAATAAGAGGCATCAACCCCCATATGAATCGCTCAACCTTCTTTCCTTTTGATATAATCATGCCAGGACACAGGAGGGATCACTCGTTGAACCTTGAGATGTATGCGTCAATATTCGAGTTCTGCTCCATAAGGTTCCACAATTCTTGCTCAAGCTTTTGCACCTCCCCTCGAGGGCAGTATTCCGCAATCATCATTTCTTTGAGTTCCTCCCAGGGCATGACGTTAACAACGACGAGTGTCATGGCTTCAATGTGACCGTTCTACCATGACAATGCTTGATCAATGAAGGTGTAGGGAGCGAATTTGACCTTATTTCTTCCAGACAATCACATATTTCGAACACTGATTCCGTCTTCTCGGTCCATCGTTCTAAAGATATGACTCCTCCAGTCCCGTTGAAAGTACAGGGTCTTGCATTGGGAAAATCTTTGTAAGTGCAGGCCCTCACAAGTCCTTGATTCATCCCTTGGTGGGAGCTTCCCGTCCCTTGACCATTTCCACCATTATTTCCGCCTTGGATGTGGGCTAACGCTGTTATTACTACTGCCGAAACTACCACTTGAAAGGTTGCAAGTTTCAATTCCGGTGGGGGCGGTGGTGGTGCTGTGGTGGTGTTTTTTCTGTTTGGTCTCTTCGGCTTCTTTCTGTCATGGATCAGAAGGACAATGAGTATCCAATACATTTCACCTCATGATTTCTTGATTTTAGAATAGTATCGGTGCCTTGGGTGCATATGAACAAGCACATGTATAAATTCAATAGCTGTATTTTATCTTGGTAACTTGAAAATGTTGAAAGGGTAACACCTACCTTTCATATGCATGATTCAACAATTGTATATTATTTAGCTAACTTGAAAATGCGTGATAAATTTTCATTCGTGTGGGGGATTGTTGCAAAATTGGTGTTAATCAATTTATAAAAATGGGGTTTCCCTATTTTTGAACATGTCCAAAATGGATTTGAGATGAATGAAAAATTAAACCTTAAAGTAAGAATGTTGAAGAAGTAAATAAAAGAGTTTAATGGGTGGGAGAAAGAAAAGAGAATGTTAGGGACCTTTCTTGCAAACATTTCTTTCTTTCGTAACTGAAATAGTAACTAATATTACAATTTAATTACATATTAAAGACACATTAATCTTGTGATTAATAAAGGTGTTTAAATCAGATGTTATAGAATGTATAGTATAAATACCATTACTCTATAACCATTTGAAGATACCAAATAATGATGCAACAAACTCTCTTCTTCCCTACTTCATCTTCTTCCATTTCTAGCTACACTGACGATATAATCCAAGCCTATTGAGGGTTCGAGTGGTCTAGAAGATCCACTTCAAACCGTTTTATCCTGAGAAACAAACAATTGGTAGTGGAATTTTTTTTTTAAGTACAATGTATTAAACACATGCCTTAGTCTTTTCTATTTTCTTATTTGATTTCGTACATACCAAAATATTATTCTTACTATATATATATATATATATATATATATATATATATATATATATATATATATATATATATATATATATATATATATATATATATATATATATATATATATAGAGAGAGAGAGAGAGGATCAAATGAGAATACTTAAAAGGTTGAGAACGCGAGAACAGTTATGAACCAATCATTTTATAAGGGTATATTAGTAATTTTATATAAATATTAATTATTGATTTCCTAAAATCTAGGGATAATGGTTTTAATTACCTAATAAAAATTAATATTTCCTTTTAGTTAATAAAATATATATAAATATTTTTTTTATGATTTTATCCAAAAATTATTTATGGCCGTTTCAAAAAAATCACTTATAAATTTTAATATTTCCTTTTATTTTAAATCTGAAAAAAAAATCTTAAGAAAATAGTATTTTCTACTATTTCACGTTTTTGTTTTTCAAAAAAAAAAAAAAAAAAAAAAATAGAAATCCAATCGCAAATCAATACACTTCTAATCATAAATGAAAACACATCAAATTACAAATAATTCAATGCATTTTTCATAAACTGAAAATAAAAAAAAGTGTAAAAATTATCATTTTTTCATAAAATGAATACCTCTAATCATAAATAAATACACTCATTCACATGAATACACTAATATTCATAAATAAATATAATCATTCACACATGAATACATTGCAATTCACAAATGAATACACTGTTATTTATAAATTAATACACATTCTATGATAAATGAATACACGTGCTATTCATAAATGAATACAACTATTCACACACGTGCTATTCATAAATAAATACAACCATTCATGCACCCCCTTCAAGAAATTATTACCAAAAAATTCGAAAATTAGGATTGTGTTTCTTTCCATTGGTACACCTCGCTGTCGCTTTCTGGTTTGCAAAATCTCGCCTATAAGGTGGGAAATTGCCCCTGAAAGGGGTCAGAATGTAGTTGTTGTTTCCAGGATCATAAGTGAAGTCTCCGAACACCAAAATAGCAGAAACCTTGTGGCTTTGAGTAGACGTTTTCACGATAAGATCTTGTGGTTCATAAAACTTAATTCCATAGCTAGATTCATGTATGAATAGAAAGAAATATGAGTAAAGAAATGTAGTTGATTAAACTTCATTGATTTACAGTCAAAATAAAAAGAAAAGAGAAGATAATCATTACCGATCGAAGCAATTGCCCCATCGAGACCCCTTCCACATTCCAGTCGAAAATGCTCTCACAGACATTTTATCGAGCACCTTATGTGCACAGTTCATCGCCTTTTTAAAAAAAAAACACATATGTTAGATCCATCTCTCTTGCGCTCAATCATCCAGGCAATTTTCTCATATGATTTTTGAATGAATGTATCACATTGGGATCATAAAGAACAGTTTATCAATGTGATTAATCACATGTAGATTTTAAATCTATAGACAAAAACATAAGAGAGATTTCCGCAATCGAGACTAACAAACCGCGAATTCAGGAAATAGAAAGTCGATTATCAGGATCAAAAACTAAATTTCAGAATATAAACACGCAATTGAATCGAATAACAACAACAAATCGAACGTACCTTTCTTTGATTGGGATCTGTAGAGATATGGGGAAGAAGCGATTGTGAGTCGGTTGGATTGATTTGAAGCAGATGAAGCATGGATGAGCTGATGAGGAGGTGGAACTAACCATAGCACCACGGCGAAAACCCTCACCGGAGCTGCTGTTTCCGCTTGCCTTGCTCCATCGGGCCAAATGTTCTCCTCCCCTTTCACATATGTTACCGGAATTGAAGGAGAAGCAGCCGAAAACTGCTTGAGCAGCCCTTGCTGCACCTACCGAGACCAATGATGATGGGAAAAAATCTTCGTGGTGGGTTGTAGGTGATGCCCAGATCGATGATGACGTGAGTTTTATGAAACCCTAAAAAGAAGAGGTGGAAATATATACACGATAGATTAAAGGAAATATATGAACGGGTGAGAAATTATAGGAGATAGTAAAGTTGAAATTCCTGTTATGTCCTTTTAACCATTTAAAAGTTACATTTTAATGCCAACAGTTTAAGAATTTTTCATAAAACCCCCTTTCAATAATGACCTTAGATTTAAGTATTTAAATGATCCAGATTTGTTCTCGCGTTCTCAACCTTTTTAGTGTTCTCATTTGATCCTACTCCTATATATACACGATAGATTAAAGGAAATATATACACGATAGATTAAAGGAAATATATACACGATAGATTAAAGGAAATATATGAACGGGTGAGAAATTATAGGAGATAGTAAAGTTGAAATTCCTGTTATGTCCTTTTAACCATTTAAAAGTTACATTTTAATGCCAACAGTTTAAGAATTTTTCATAAAACCCCCTTTCAATAATGACCTTAGATTTAAGTATTTTAATAATCCAGATTTGTTCTCGCGTTCTCAACCTTTTTAATGTTCTCATTTGATTCTACTCCTATATATATATATATATATATATATATATATATATATATATATATATATATATATATATATATATATATATATATTGCAATCATGTATGTAATAATTGTCATGTATATATGTATAAACATTCTATATATATATATATATATATATATATATATATATATATATATATATATATATATATTGCAATCATTTATGTAATAATTGTTATGTATATATGTATAAACATTTTTGTATATATAAAGATGTATATAATCATTTTATGTATAAATACATGTATATAACATCTATGTCATTTTTGTGTGGAATATATATATATATATATATATATATATATATATATATATATATATATATATATATATATATATATATATATATATATATATATATATATAAGTTTATTATGATACTTTTTGTGCCATAAACATATATATACACAATATAGTTATTTTTTATCGTATAAAATGTTTATCAAATATCATGATTCTTGTAAATAATAAATGACATGAAAGTTATGTAATCATTATGAGACTTTAAATAATGTAATTTAAAATAAATAAACACAACGTAAATATAAATAACGTGAATAAACGCAAAAAAAATAGATAAACGAAATTTAAATTACGATTAAACGTAAGATGAAATGTAAACGTGAAATACCCAACTATCTTAAATAAAGTGACTAAATGCAATGAATGTAAGTGAATGTAAATAAACATAAATAACGTAATGATCGTGGATAAGCGTAAATGAACGTAAGTGAACGAGTTAAACGTAAATATGAACGCGAATAAACGTAAAACGTAAGGTAAACAGAAAGTTACATGTATTCACCCCCGATGGTTTTAAAAAGTTAAAAATGATCCGTAGAAATTCACCCTAATCACATGAGGTTAATTCTTTTCTAGTTCGGACATTTTTCATGTTTCACCAACTTTTGAATGGAGCGGTTTTTAGACAAGCTAAGCACACAAGTTTATGCATTTTCTAGTTAGAACATTAGATGAAACATTTTTACAACAAAAGAGTTGTTTTTGGTGACAAAATAAGGATGAAAAGAATGAACAATTACCTAGAACTTTAGCAACAAAGTAGAGTACCAAAAAAGAGTTGAAACAAGTAGGATTTAAGTGTAAAAAGTGGAAGCTTCTTGGTCCATTTTCCTCTCGAAAAATAGCTCTTTTAGTGTGTTTTGATCCTTGAAATGCCACGTTGTGGTGATCTCTTCACCACGTCCCGGCCAACCAAGGTTTTTTCAAAATTAACAATTAAAACTCATACCTGGAACAAAGTTTTACATAATAATGATTTAAAATTAAAAGTTTATAGAAAAGAAAGGGGAATAAAGAGTAGAAAGGAAAGGGTTTCTTTATCTTAACCCACCACAAAAAAGTGTTAAAAAACAAAAACTACTTTTGAATTTAAAGAAAAAACGTCACTATAACTTAAAAAAAATGAAGAAAACGTGCTAAGGGGCATCCATGCTTCTTTCTAGCTTAACCATTAGAGAGTTTATGAGTGTATGATGCTAATCTAGCTGAAAACTATAACTTTTATTTGTATATAAAGCTTTATTAAATATGATTATTTTAATTAATAATTCAAAATAAAATATTTTTTTTAAACAACAAGAAATTTATAGAAAACAAGCTAGGAAGAAGCTAGAATTACATAAGTTTGATACATTCTCGTGAAGGGCTATGACACCAATCAACCTAGTTAAAGAAATAACATTTTCTAGATTGGTATTTAATCCATTCGAAGGCCAACATCTTCACCTCGGTAGCCAAAATACGACAGCTCTTAACCTTGCCATTAAATATTTTATTACACCTGTAACTCCAGATAATCCAAGCAAAAGCATAAAGCACAACCGAAACAACCTTACTTACGCAGCCAAGGGTACCAGAACTGGACACACAACCGAAGAGGTCATGGAGAGAGCTGCTATCCCCCGGAACCTGATTCCACTAATTGTTGATGGCAACACGCACCTCCCAAGCGACTAAACAATTCAGAAAGCTATGGAATCTATCTCTACCAAAATGTTGCAAAAGGGACATAACGCCACAGTAAAACATCCTTCATTGTCTTCAATCCACTTCCATTTGTTATCCTGAAAAACAAATAAACCGTTAAGGTCGACCTGATTATGCATCAGGTACAAGTGAAGATGGTTGATGACACCCCAAGTCCCTCTTCTAGCAACAACCCTGGTACGGCCAATCCGTGACATCCCCAAAATCACGACCTAAAAAGACCGGTTTAATTTATGCTTTCAAAATAATTTCAGAGTAATCCTTTGATTAAAACAGTTGCGGAATTTGTTCCCAAAACGAAATATGATAAAAATAAGATTTACCAAAGCATTTCTTAAAGAAATGCATTTTCATTATATTACAATACTTGGGATGTCATGTTCCGATAAACAGACCAAAAACATAAACATTTCAATACAGACCTTACAACAGTTATTTACAACAACAGATCTATAATCCAAAATATCTTGACAAATCATCCAACTTATGCTCTGGCGCCACTACCTGTAATACAAAGAAACTGAGTGGGTCAGCCTTGGGAGCTTGGTGAGCATATAGGGTTTTCAACCCACAATAAGTAATTAAATTTATTTTCATCAACCAACAATAACCCAATAATCCATTCTCGTTATTCTCACTTTATGTCCCTAAAACAACTAACACAAGGGACCTAGTCTTAGAATATTTCATCGGGGCGACAACACATGCATTCGGGGTTTCCCAGCAATATATGTCAAATAAGGCGGGGATGGAGTACATCGAATGAACACCCAAGTTCATTAACACCTACAGGTGGCGAACCTGCTAGCGTTCCACAGGACTGTCTAGAAAAGTCCGTGGTTGTCATCTAAATTCCGCTAGATGACTGAATCAAAAACAACATCGAGGCCTGTCATCTGTTTATCACACATCAACTATCTACCCATGTTCTACCGAACATATTAGTAGATATATATATATATATATATATATATATATATATATATATATATATATATATATACACACATAGTTTAAAAACATGTATAGCATTCTCATTCAATACATATTCCAAACAACAGATGAGACACATACACATAACACGTATTTCATAGAGAATAAATCATATATATGAGATAGAAGAAAATGAATATACATTCACACATAAAATATACATATAACATGTATTTCGTATAAAATACTTCATAATTATGCGTTAGAAGAAAGTGACTACACACTCACTTGATCAGAAGATGATCGGACAACACTACGACTTGTAGAAGTAATATTCTTCGGTAGATCTGGAAGATCTTCACAAAACCGGGCTCCTCGCGAGCAGAGCTTCGGCTCAGGAACTTTACTTCTCGGGATCTTCGGGGCTTCGGGACTTGCTTCGGGTCTCGGGAATGATACCGGGGCTTCAGGATATTTCTTGCACGAAAGTTGAGGTAAAACGGGAGAGAGAGAGAAGAGGAATTAAGCAAAGAAACTCGGAAGCCTCAACTCCCTTTTATAAGGTGCTGGATCCTCGATTTATGCTAGGCGTAAATCCTAGTTACACTGGGCGTAACCCGGATAAAATCGCTGACTCACCCCCCCCCCTTTGGATAATATCGGATTTTATAATTAAATTTAATATTTTAATTATTTAATAAATTCAAAAAATCATATCTTCATTATACAAACTCCGTTTTCGACGTTCTTTATATCCTCGCATAGGTGAGACTATGTTCTACAACTTTCATTTGGACTCTATCAGCTAATTTTGACTTTATTTTTAGGGAAATCTGCGAAAAAGTCCCAATATTTTAGGCCAGTTTATGATTTAGTCTCAAATTAAATTTTGTTTACAAAAAAGGACAAATTACCGGCTAAAACTTCGAACTAGCCCTTCGTGGCCGGTTTCACAGATTTAGCCGGTATCTCGTCTTTTTTCGTTAATTAATCCAAATTTTGGGGCTTTTTCATTAATTAATCAAAATTTTAGGGCTTTTTCATTATTTATTACCAATAAACCAAAATATTTGGACTTTTCTGAAGATTACCTTTAAACTATTATATATTATATTATATGATCTAATTTAATATGTACTATTCCATATCTTCTTTCTTATGCTCTTCTAGGCTCACTGTGTGTTTTTATCGGTGTCGTAAAACCCAACAACAAAAATCTCACTTACAAACCTCGTTAACTCCATCAATTTTCCAAAATTATATATTCACAACTCTATGATCATCTTTCAATCTCCAAATAAAGAATGGAGAAAATCCTTGTTGATTATGTGGATGTCCCTATTATCTAACCATGACTTAAACCGTGGTTCCAACACTTAGATGTTCCTATTACCTAACCATGATACATTGGCTCAAGTCTTACTTGACCCTTGTTTCCTTACAATACTACAGAAGCCCCAACATAAGATGAATCCCACATGGTTCATCATTTATTGGTTTTTTCTGTCAAAAAGTAAAGCATTTTGGAAGCCCCAAATAGACTAAAACGTAATAATGACAATTATTGTAATATCACACCAATTGTCATTATGACTTAAACGTAACATCACAACAATTGTCATTATTACATTTTAGTCTATTTGGGGCTTCCAGAATGCATTAGTTTTTGGCAAGACAAAAACCAATAAATGATGAAGTTTTTGATAAAGATCGGAACACAATCTTATTGATGGATCCAAGAGGTCCTTCTCGTCCCAAGCCTTTTTCTCCTCAATCTTCTTCCAAAAAATGCACTACAATATGCAATATTGAAACGACCCAAAAATACGACCCAAAAATTTCGTTTTTCAATATAATCAAAACCATAATATGAGTATCATAACATAGAAAAACATACGCGATGTATCCCAAATCATAATAAAATATTGTGCGGAAAACTGTATCATACTATATCAAATCCAAAACAACTAAAACCATCCCCAGGATAAAAGCTAAGCTGTGGTGTGTGCGATGCTAT